TCCATGTTGCTGCAAATAGCATGAGTTTATCTTTTTTAACCGTTGAGTAATATTCCATTGTATATGTACCACATATTCTTTTTATTTAAGATTTATTTTTTATTTATGCATTCAAGAGCTGGGGAATAGGCCAGAGCTGCAGGGAGAGGGGAGGTGAGAGAATCAACCAGAGACAGAGTGGGGAGCAGACCAGGCAGATCTACTGAAATACACTGCTGAGGGGAGCGGTGGGCAAGCCAGGAGAGGTCTGCTGTGCCATGTGGGTCAGCTCCCTGGCTGGGGATCGAACTCATGCTGTAGCGGCTACTGGTAACTTCACAGTGCTGATACTTAACCCCTTGTGCCACCAAGGAGGCCCTGTACCACATATTCCTAATTCATTCATCTGTTCTGGGACATTTAGGTTGTTTCTGTACCTTGTCTACTTTAAATAGTGCGGCTATAAACATAGGAGTGCAGATTTCCTTTCTAATTAGTGTTTTTGTGCTCTTTGGATCGATACCTAGGAGTGGAATTGCTGGGCCATATGGTAAATCCAATTTTAGTCTTTTGGAGAATATCCACACTGCTTTCCATAAAGGCTGGACCAGTCTTCATTGCCACCAAAGGTATAATAGGATTCCTTTTTCTCCATGCCCTCGCCAGCGCTTGTTTGTAATGTTTTTGATGTGGGCCATTCTCACAGGTGTGAGGTGGCATCTCCCTGTGGTTTTGATTTGCATTTCCCCCATGATAAGTGATGATGAGCTTTTTTTCATGTGTCTGTTGGCCATCAGCATGTCCTCCTTGGAGAAGTGCCTATTTAGCACTTCTGCCCATTTTATGATTGGGTTGTTTGTTTGTGTTGAGTTGCATAAGTGCTTTGTAGATCTTTCATATCAATCCCTTATCAGATGTATGGTGTGCAAATATTTTCTCCCATTCGCTAGGGCATGTCTTTGTGTTGTCCACTGTCTTTGTAGCTGTACAGAAGCTTTAGTTTGATAGATATAGTCCCAGTGGTTCGTTTTTTTGTTGTCCTTGCCACTGGAAATGAGTCCACAAAGATGTTTCTGAAGTTTGTGTTGTGGAGTGTTTAGCCTATGCTTTCTTCTATGTATTTTATGGTTTCAGGTCTTATCCAAGTCTTTTACCCATTTTTAGTTGTTTTTCCTGTCTGGTGTGAGATAATAGTCTAGTTTCATTCTTTTGCATGTGGCAGAACAATTTCCCAGCACCATTTATTGCAGAGGCTTTCCTTGCTCCACTGAATTTACTTTGCTCCTTTTTTCATAAATTAGTTGTTCATAAATATGTAGTTTTATTTCTGGATTCTCAATTGTATTCTATTGTTCTGTGTACTTTGTTTTTATAAGTGGAACTATGCCACACTCATTATTCTACAACATCTTTTTGCACTTAGTAATGTTCTGGACATCTCCAGAACAACAGGGTACACCTCACATCCTTTTCAAGGCTGCATAATAGTACATGGTGTGGGTGTATCATAATTTATTCAATTGTTCCTTGCAATGAACATTCAGGCTGCTTTGAAGTAAATTTTTTGGACATCATAAATAATGCCATAATACAAATTCTTAAACCTATTCTTACATATTAGTTTCTGTTTCTACATAGTATAGTCTTCTAAGTAGAATCCTTAAAGCATATGAATATTTTATAAATTTTGTAAAAGAGTGTAGCAATTGACATTTTTATCAGCTGTATAGGGGATTAGCAGTTTTAGTTCCATCCTCAACATCAGACTCTGTTTCTGTTAGTAACTCACAATCTGAAGTTGATAGATTGGCTACTGGGCCTCCCTGTGACGCAAGGGGTTAAGCACCGCACTACAAAGCAATCCACAGCCTCTGCAGCATGAGTTCGATCCCTGGCCAACTAGGGAGCAACCCACATGGTCCAGCAGACCTCTCCTGTCTCGCCCGCTGCTCCCTTCAGCAGTGTATTTCAGTCAATCTGCCTGTTCTTTTCCCCACTCTGTCTCTGGTGAATCCTCTCAACCCCTGCATCTCTGGCCTGTACCCCAGCTCTTGTGTGCATAAATAAATAAATCTTTAAAAAAAAAAAAAAGAAAGATTGGCTACTAATCTTGCATTTCCAAACTACTAGTGGGGTTATACATATTTTCAAGTGCTGATGACTGCATTTTCTTATCTACAAATTGCCTGTTTATACATTTGTCCATTGTTAAATTGGGCTGTTTGTCTTTTTTAAAATAATTTATAGGAGCAAGTTTTATATTTGGGATGACATTTGAACTGTTTCATATGATACAAATATTTTCCTCAAATCTACCGTTTGCTTTTCAACTAAATTTATGACATCTTTTCCCACATAATTAAAAAAAAAGATTGTGGAATTTTGTTGTTTGGGGGTTTATTTCAAGTGGACAGTAAGTTATGCTACCACTATTTATTCAAGAAATCATGCATCACCTTGAACTAAAATGCCAACTTGATTATATAGGAAACTACCATGTATCTTTGGATCTGTCCTGTCCCCTCTATTTTATTGCATCCTTTTATTAACATCTCTACTATGACACATCATAGTAGAGTGTTCTATATTAGGTAAATAAATAATTAAACTATGTTAATTTGTTGACTTTGAATACGCTGTTCTTAAATTCTTTCGGTATTACCCCATAGACACTAAAATATAAAAATGTTTTAGGCTGTGTACCAGAAGGCCATTTTATCATGGTAGCTTTGTAAGAAATTTTTGTTAAAAGATTTGTTTATTCATGCATACAAGAATTGGGGTACAGGTCAGATGTGTGGGAGGGTGAGAGGATTCACCAGAGACAGAGTGGGGAGCAGAACAGGCAGACTGACTGAAATACACTGCTGAGGGGAGCAGCGGGAGAGACAGGAGAGGTCTGCCACGCCATGTGGGTATCTCTCTGGCCGGCATCGAATCAGCACTGCAGAGGCTATGGACAACTTCACAGTGCTGCGCTCAACTGCCTGCGCCACCAGGGGAGGCCCTTGTAAGAAATTTCAATATTTGGCAAGACACAATGTCCTATGCTTTGCACATGTGTTCCTCTAAAATTATTGGCTAGTCTAAGATATATATCCTTCCATGTAAACGTCATATTTATTTTGGCTAGTTTTAAAATGCTGGTATTATGATTGGATTTGCCTAAAATTGTATCCATTTGGAAGTGTTTACCATTTCTAAGATTAAGACCTCCCACATAAGACCAGGAAGTATTTATTAGTTCTGCTTTGTTTTAGCCCTTCAATAAAAGTTATGATTTTCAAAATATAGGTCTTTAGGTTGTGGGATTTTGTTTGCTTTTGATTTGACAAATACCAATGGGATGTTTTCCATTTCTATTCATAACCGGTTATGTTATTATCAATAAAATTATTCTGAGTTTTTGTATATTTATCTTATACCTAATAACATTGCCAATTTTTCTTTTTGTTGAAAAATATGTTCATCTCTTGGCTTTTCTGAATATGCAATAATGTTAAGAAACCAATAATTTTTTGTCTTTTTCAGTATTTATAATGATGATTTTTTTGCTGAAACTGGAATGATAATTGAGGGAATACTTTTTAATCTAATTTTCATGGAAATAACTTCAATATACTATTTAATGTTTGCCATTGGATGTTTATAAGTTGTCTTTATTTGCTTCTGTACCACTGGTAGTTTTTCTTGAAAATGACTGGGTATTGATATGACATCTTTTCTCTTTTAGTACATTGCTTATGAACTTATTTGATAGACATCTTTAATTGAATGATATTTATGGAGTAAGTTTTACTTGGTTGTAGCCATTTTGTTTAATGGAGCAGGAATCTGGGTTTAGACTGTCTCTGTTCAAAAGGTGTGATAAAACCCATCTCCAAGATGGCTGAGTGATCCCAGGACAGTGACTTTGTCTGCCTCAGGGTCCTCATCTGTATAATGGGAATAATAGAGAGACTTGCCTCTTGAGGTTTTGGGGTATTAAATGAGTTACTATATGACTCATGTAGAACAGGGTGTGTCACAGGTAGCTGATATGTTAGCTATTATTATCACTGTGGATGCAATTTACTGATAGGTCATTTAGATAATTTGTAGGTGAGTTTGCACTGTAGTTTTGTTTTTGTGCCCTCTTTACTTGGATGTGATGTTAAGTTGCTCTATTTTCATAAAATTAATGGGGGAAATTTCTATATTTTTGAAGGTTTACTATAATTTAAGTAACATAGAAATTACTTATTCTTTAAAAATTAGCTATTGCACAACTATCAGTCCATTTGTGTCTGGGCCTTTTAAGAATTCTGTATCTTTGGGGGTTTGGTGGAGGGTATACATATAGAGGAGTGAAAATACAGCCCCAAAGGTATATAGATATGTAAATGAATAACAAATTAATTTAAAAATCCTATATCCTGGGCTTGTAATTCTGATTTCTCCTGAGGTTATTAATTTGTTCAGGTTTTCTCATCTTCTTAGTATAGAGTTCATTTCCCATAAAACATTGAGTTTATTGCCATAAACTTATGTATCACATTTTCATAATTATTTTTCTATAATATGGTGATAGTACCTTATTTTTTTTATTTTAATATTCTTTATTATTTTTATTTTATTTTATTTTGCATATTTTTACATGTTTTCATTTTTGAACAAAGTATCCATTTTCATCTTGGTTATTTTTTTTTTTGTCTGGTTCTTTATTTTTACCTCTTTTTTTTTTAAATAATAAATTTTATTTTTATATTCCCCATACAATTGCAACCCCACATTCTGACCCCAATCCCTCCCCTCCTGCCCCCACCCCCAAAAAGTGTCTCTGGTTCATAGTTTTTTTGTTGATTTTGATTTTCACTTTCTTATAGTTATTCATTTTCCTGGTCCCTTATTTAAGTTTTCTAGATTCCTGCTGTGAGTGAGACCATCCGGTATTTTTCTTTTTCTTTTTGGCTTATTTCACTGAGCATGATCCCTTCCAGTGCCATCCATGTTGCTGCAAATTGCATGTGTTTATCTTTTTTGAAAAACAGTGGTTAGATGCCACGAAGTAGGTGGCAATGCCTTAACCGTATGCGTGTTGCAGGCCGAAGCCTCTTCCATCCTTGTCAAGGGGAGTGCTAACCTTCTCTCCTTTCATACAACACAGTACCTTATTTATTTAATTTTTTTAAGATTTATTTATTTACACAAGCACTGGGTACAGTCAGAAGTGCGGGAGGACGAGAGAATTCACCAGAGTCAGAGCAGAGAGCAGAACAGGCAGACTGATGAAGCACACTGCTGAGGGAAGCAGTGAGTGAGACAGGAGAGGTCTGCATGCCATGTGGGACCCTCACCGGTGGCCGGGGATTGAACCAGCGCTGCAGAGGCTGCGGACAGCTTCGCAGCCCAGCGCTCAACCGCTGCGCCACCAGGGAGGCCCTACCTTATTTTTTATATTCTTACTGAATTTTTAATATTAAGCATAGTTTTTATTTTTTAAGATTTATTTATTTATGCATGCAAGAACTGTGGTACAGGCCAGAGGTGTGGAGGGTGAGAGGATTCACCAGAGACAGAGTGGAGAATGGAACAGGCAGATTGACTGAAATACACTGCTGAGGGGGGAAGCAGGTGAGACAGAAGAAGTCAGCTGTACCATATGGGTTTCTCCTCGCTAGGGATGGAACTCATGCTACAGTGGCTGTGGATAGCTTCGTAGGTTGCATCTTAACCCCTTGCGCCATCACGGAGGCCCCTAAATACAGTTTTTATTAATGACTTTTTCAACAGGTTACATTTGTCCTTTTAATGAATGAGTTTTTATTTTTCTTATTTCATATTTCCATATTTATTTCATTAATATTATTTCAATAATTTACTTCATTAATAATGAATGATACTAATTATTAGTAAAAATTTACTTTAAAATTAATTCCGTTTTTCATCTTGCTTTTTATTAACCTTTATTACATGAGGAGTTTCCAATTTGGAACACTAATTATTTTATCTTTTAAATAGTTATAGAAATTTATACTTTTAGAAATCATAGTTTTCATTATAATAGACATTTTAATATAGTTTTTTAAAAAGGATTTAGGATTATTCCCTTTGTAATAATTCCTAGATGTCAGATGAGTCAATGGAGAAAATATTTCTAAATACCTTTGTAATATTTTAGAAACTTTACATAGTTTCTAAAGTCTCATCTTCTAGAAGGCAACCTATAGGTGAGATGATGCAGAAGGTACAACAAAAAAATTTTTTTTGAACAGATTTTTTTGTTCTATATGTAATAAACATTTTTTATTACTTTTTGAAAAAACTTCACATTGTTTCCTACTTGAGAAGTACTTTAGTTGCCCTTAGGTTAATACTGTGGAATTTACCAGTTTGTTCCATAATTAATAATTTCCCACATTGAACCCGTAGATTCAAAAGAGATTGTTTCCATAATAGGCACTTTCCCTTTTTAAGTAAACACATGGTAAGGAAGAGTAGATTGTACTTACCATAATAGTATAACATCTATAAATGAGATGAATGAAAAAAGTACAGCTTTGATTTGAAATAAAATTACATTTTCTGTAAGTTTTTGATCTTCCATATTTCATGACAATTTTTATGCTACTTTGTTAGTCAGTATTTTATAAAGTTCAAAATTTGCTCCTCTCTACCACATGATCTGTGTTCATAAATCATTGGCTTGCATTTCAAAGAAAAACATTTGATACTATGTATGCTAATAAAACACCAGTGATAGGGGGCCTCCCAGGTGGCGCAGCGGTTGAGCGCCGGGTTGCGAGGCTGCCCGCAGCCTCTGCGGCGCCGGCTCAATCCCCGGCTGCTCCCCAGCCACCGGAGGAGGGTCCCGCATGGCGCGCAGACCCCTCCTGCCGCCCGCTGCTCCCCTCAGCAGTGTACCTCGGTCCCTCTGCCTGCTCTGCTCCCCGCTCTGGCTCTGGTGAATTCTCTCACCCTCCCCCACTTCTGACTGTACCCAGTGCTTGTATAAATAAATAAATAAATCTTTAAAAAAAAAAAAAAAAAACCAGTGATAGAATTAGTGATCATACCACCTATTTATACTTTACTGTCTCTATTTCTAGTCATGGACAACCCTGTAATGGCAAATATATTTTCAGCAGCTGACTTATTTTGCAATAGAACAGGAAAAAATATGTATAAGAAATTATGTTCAAAATAAGCACACAATCTGAGATTAGCCTCAAATATAAATATATGATAAAAAATATGATGGTTTTACTCTTCTCCCGCTACTGCTTCTTATTTTATTTCTTACCCTTCTACTTCATACACTATTTATTCTCCTACTTCTTCTGTTTCTTATGCATAGTGCTTACAGTATTCACAAATTCAGAGGATTATGGCTGTTCAGTTAAGGTCAGGGGACATAAAAAGTAATATAACAATTGGTTAAAAAAGACAAATTTGTAAAAATTAGGCAATATTTAATTTTTCATTTTTTGAAGTAGATTCTGCAAGAATGAATATAGACATAGAGGATCAAAGAGATCACCTTACTGGAAAACTTCTAGGACAATAGGAAACTTCTAGGGCCTTTATGAGTCCTGCTCTAGGTCCTGATCAAGGCCTGAAATTCCACTGTTAGAGTTTCTTTTCTTTTTTCTTTTTTTTTTTAATAAACCTTTTATTAACCTTTCCTGTATACCTGCAGTAGAGTGTTTGTTTTTTTTTTTTTAGATTTTTTTTCATTTTTTTATTTATTTATACAAGCACTGGGTACAGTCAGAAGCACAGGAGGGTGAGAGAATTCACCAGAGCCAGAGCAGGGAGCAGAGCAGGCAGAAGGACCGAAGTACACTGCTGAGGGGAGCAGGGGGCGGCAGGAGAGGTCTGCGCACCATGTGGGACCCTCCTCCAGTGGCCAGGAGCAGCCGGGGATCGAACTGGCGCTGCAGAGGCTGGGGGCATCTTCGCAACCCAGCGCTCAACCGCTGCACCACCGGGGAGGCCCTAGAGTTTCTTTTCTTTAGCATAATTCCTGGCATTTTTAGGTGACATTACTACTACGAGAAACTCAGGAAAACTCTGGGAAAAGCACATAAACATAGACCCACAATGTTTTATGCCATTGGCAAAAAAAGGAACTTCCATATTCACGTGTATAGCAGGATACAAAAACAATTGTTTTGCTTATGCTTTCCTTCCATTTTTCAGGCAGAAATTAATGGTCATTTCTTATAAACTATGCAAAATTATTAAAAAGGTCTGCAAGCATGAGTTTTTCCACAAACAAACAAAAAAAGAATATACTGTTCAAAAGTGAGTTAAATAGCAAAACTGCTGTTATTTAGCTTGCAGGAGAGGTTGAAGTTGTGGAGTGCTGGTTGATAAAATGCAAATGTCATCTTTGATATTCAATGGATTCTATCTTTTGATGTGGCTGACAAGTGATGAAAACTCTTCTTTACAAATGTAATAGTGGAATCAGAGTTCCTGTGTGTGCTTTGCAAGACAAGGGCAGATGAATGAAGAAATATTTCTCTAGGACTCTTTTGGGTTAATCCATGTAGCATCCATTCCTTTGTGAGGTCATTTTTGGCAGAGTCTTCATGCTTGATGTCAGAAAGTTAAGAATCGTGAACACATCTAATTTCAAGATCACTGGAGCAGAAATAGCCATCAAATGAATTCTGCAGGGTTCCTAGTGTGTACAGAATTTTGCCTGTAGAAAAATTGAAAAAAAAATTTTTTTAACTCTCTGTTTCAGCCTAAAGAAACCTTTGTTCTAGCATCAAAAATTAATATGATTGCCTCCTCCTGACTCCTTTTCCAGAGCAGCAATTTGGAGGGCAGAAAGGCTCAGTGACTTTCCAAAGCTTTGAATACAAAGAATGGCCTCATTGATTTGATCAAATGTATCCACCAATAAGTCAAGCCACAAACAAACTCATCCACTTTCAACTGTCCTAAGTAATTGCTCTTTTACTCTCAACATTCTCTGTACCTCCCTTCTATTTTATTTTCCTAAAAGTCAGTCAAGTACTTGAGAAGTGCCTTCCAGAAAGTCAGAAAATTTCTATAGGAAAAACACACTATTTTCTATTTTATCTATAGGGAAAAAGAACATCCTTTCTGGTTTACAGCAGCAAATAAACAAAAACCTTGAAAAGGTGGTGCCTTGAGATCCTGAGTGTGATGAAGCTGGTATCTTTCATGGAAATAGACCAGACTTAGTGCAGGATACTTGACAACTTCCTTTGCCATCAACATTTGCTTGGGCATAAAGCCATAAAGCATATCTATTTCTGTTTTATCAGGTTTAGAACTCTAGAGTGCAAACTTCCATGGATCCCAAAGTTTTCACTCATGACTCAAGCCAAATGCAAATAAACACAATATGAATTTATTTGGGGGAATCCACATTACAATGAATATAAGCATACAATTCAATTGGCTGTAAAGGGGGAAGGTAATGAACCTCTTGACAAAGTTCCAGAGACTGGTATCTGCCCATCTGCCAGGAAGTAGAGGTGAGAGTCCCCAGCTGCTCTTGCTGGATCTTGGAGGAGGCTTTGGGAACACAGGCAGGGAGTCCATAAGCCCCAAATTTGGGACCCATATTTATACCACTCTTCAGAGGTATAATATCAGGACCACCTGTTAATTCTGATGTAGTCAGTGCCTCTCAGCACACACAGGTTTTTGTCTGTCCTTGCCTTCCACATGTCTGTTGATCCGTGTCTTCAAAACAGGTGGTTGTTTTTCAAATGATAACTTAAGTCCCTATCTCAGTTGCCCCCACCTTTCCATCAATCAGTGTCATTACAATATCAATATGTATGACAAGTTCTTTGCCGGAGCTACAAGTATAGGTGTCCTACCAAGCATCCCAGTACTTCATCTGTATGGAGAATAGTAAGGTTGTTTTTCTAATGGAAGTTTTACTTTGCAAAGTAAATTTCCACTCTAAATGTATCAATGGTCCTTGCATTCTGAAAGGAAATCATAAGCAGGGGTCCCTTGATGGTGTCTGAGCAGCACAAGAGAAAGCCATAAAACGCCTCCCCTGATAGGTCATTTCAGTGGCGCAGCTAACAATCCATCCACCATCTTTTTTCAAGATCCCAGAAGAAATGGTAGTGTTTCTGGGGGGTGGCTACATTGCATTAAGGAACCA